TGTGACCATCCTGTTCTCCAACCATCGTTCACCCTGCGGTTCGGCACATCGAGGACATTTCAGAGCAGCTCTGTCACTTTGCTTTCCTACAAGCAGTGTAGGAGAGCCCCAGTCACCATACTCTGTCACCAGCACTCGTTGCTGCTCGTTGGTATTGTTTATTTTAGCCACACACAGATGCATAGTTGTGTTGGCATTCCGTTTCTCTGGTGAGACAGCTTACAAGGAGGAAAGATTTATTTGGTTCACAGTTGTAAGGTGTCAGTCCATGGTTGGTTGGTTCCATTGCTTTTGGGCCTTTGGCGGCATGGGACATCATGATGGGAGGCTGTGTGGAGGAGACCGCTCACCTTATGACAGCCCAGAGAGAAAGAGACAGCAAGGCGCTAGGTCCCAACATCCCCTTCAAGGATGCCCTAATGACCTCACTTCCTCCCACGAGGCTTCACCTCCTATAGACCCCACCACCTGCCTGTGACCAATTCTTCAACATGTGGGCTTTTCAGTCTGCCTTTCTCTAGTGACCGATGATGCTGACCATCTGATCGTGGCTTCCTTACCAGTCCTCGATAAAGAGCTGTTCAGGTCTTCTTTCACCCATCCTGTAATTGAGCTAGATGCTTTCTTGCTGTTGAGTTTTGACACTTTTTAAAATATGTTCTGAACAAAAGTCCTTTCTCAGATGTACCACACATGTTTTAAGGACTGTGCCTGGGAGAAAGTTTTAGGGCTATTTCCAGGAGACATGTCAGTGAGTATGTGAATCTCTGCAGGAAATCCTCCTCTTAAAAAACCTAGATTTTTGTGTTGTAGTGCTGAAATACACATCACATTTGTCATGTTGCCCGTCCTCAAGAAGCACTGAGTGTACCCACCTTGCTGAACAACCACTTCTCGTCCCCAGATTCTTCACCTTCCTCACCTGAAACGCTGTCACATTTCACAGCTCCTCCCATCCTCTCTGTTGACCACCGTTGAACTTTGTGTCTGTGACTTTGCCCACTCTGCGTACCTCATGGGATCCTACAGTACTTTTGCTTTTGTGAATGGCTTACTTCACTTAGCATAATGCCTTTGAGGTCAGCCATACTGTAGCATTGGTCAGATTTTCTTTCTTTGTAAGGCTGAATAATATTTCATTGTGAATATATACCACATTTTCTAAGTTTTTTCGTTTGTTTTGTTTTGTTTCTGTGGTACTGGGGATTGAATTTAGGGGCTCACACATGCTGGGCAAGCACCATACCTCTTGAGCCATATTCCAGCCCCTACATTTTCTTTATGAGTGTTTCAGCCCATTTAATGTCACTATAACTGCTTACAACAGACTGACTGATAACGGAGAGAATTGTTGGCTCACATTCTTGGAGATCAGGGGACATCTGGTGAGGGACTTCTGTCATCCCACAGTGGAAGGTGTCATACAGAAGAAGGGTTAAGAAAGGGGAAGAGAGACAACAAGCCTGTCCTTTTACAAAGAGCCCACTCCTGCAGTAACAAGCCCACTCATGATGACAGCATTTTTCCACTCACAAGGGTGGAGCCCTCATGGCCTAAGCACTTCTCATCAGCCCTCACCTCCCCACACACACTCGCTGATGGACGCTTGGGCATTTCCACCTTTTGGCCATTGTAAGTGGTGCTGTTATGAAGAGGTCAGCTTTTAATTCCTTAGCACTAAGCCATGGGTTTGGGATAGAATCTAATCATCAAGGTCTGGTATGGCGGGATCGGCTTGGTCGTAATAGAAACTCTTAACTAATTTAAAAACGATACCCGTGGTAACTAACTCAGTAAAGAAGAATGGTTTGTTTGGCTCACAGTTCTGGAGGTTGAAGTCCAAGCGCATTGGTTGGACCTGGGGTGAGGGTGCCGGGTGGCAGTGATGGAGGTATGTATCCGAGTGAGCAGTAATGTTTGAGCCAGCAGCAAGAGAGACTGAGAGAACAGGGCCCAAGGTCCTCTTCAAGGTGCACCCCCAGTGACTGAAGAACCTCCCCTTAGGTACCCCTTCTTAAAGGTCCATAGCACCTCACAGTACCGCCAACCTGGGAACCAAGCTTTCACATATGAACTTTGGGGACAATCAAGCAGAGCAGACTAGTTGGCTCAGGTCAGTGAAATGCCCAGTGTTGGGCTGGACCAGGGGTACAGATGGCATCACAGGACTGTGATGCCACTGTGGAGTGGCTTCTGGTAGGAAAAGGATCTCTTTGTCACAATGCCACCAGAAGTCCCCAAGCTGGATCCCATCAGCCTGGCTTGGGTCAGGTGCACACCCTGAACTGCCTGTGGCTAGGGCCAGGCAAGGCCTTATTTGGCCGGGTCTGGGAGACATGTCCCCATCACAAAGACTAGGGAGGAGAGAGATTCTCCAAGGGGAATCAGGGTTCTGATGTCAAAAGAAGGGGATACGGGACAAGAAGCAACCCAGAGTGAGCACTGTGAGGGAAGAGCTAGTCGTGTACTCCTAGTGTGCACCAGACATTGGGCAGAGACCTGTACCTGTTAGTCATTGTGCTTAGTCCTCAAGGAAGGTACTGTCCCCATTCCAGAGGGAAGGACTCAGTGGTCAGAGAGGTGAGGACCTCGTGATTGTCACAAGCACCAGATCTGGCATTGGAACCCAGTTCATGTGCCAGCTTATCAGCCCCCAATCCCAGAACAGTGCCCAGCCCTGCATGGGACAATTCCCATTAAAAGTCAGGTCTGTGCCTAAAAATGCACATGACCTGTTAGGCTTCCTTCAGAGCCCTTGTACCATATGTCCAGAACTTTAAAAATCATACACAGGAGGTCAGAAACGAGTCGTGTAAGCAGAATTTTCCATTTATGGGAGTGTGCTTCATGTTGACTTTAAGGAACAGGCTTGACAATCTTTCTTTTGTTTCCTTTTCTTTGTTTTTTTAAACCTTCATTCAGTGTCCTTGGCAGGCAAGCATCCAGACTTTGCTTGAACATTTCAGGGATGGGGCTTTTGGTACAGTGTTAGCCTAGCTACGTTCTGGTTTCTTTCATCTTCCGAATTCTTGTTAAAAGTGCAAAAGCCTCCTTACTTATGTCCTTGCCCAGCTCCAAACTCTTTTTCCATAGAGTGGCTGAAGGGATATAGATGAATTTTTTTTAAATACACAGTCAGAAGCCAGGTTCAGAAAGACAAAGGTCGCATGTTTTCTCTCATATGTAGAAGATAGGTCCGAAAACAGACACAAGCATTATCATATGTACATACGTGCACAGAACAAGTTTCCAGCAGCGGGACTGTTAGAGAAGACTTGGGGGGAGGAGGGCAGAAGAGAATGATGGAGAGTGGATGACACTGAAATACATCAATCTGTGTAGGAACAAGGCACAGTGGAATGCACTGAAAACTGTTGAACGATACAGGCTGGGAGGAGAAGGGTAAGGAAGAATAATAGAGGGAGCTAGACTTAATAGATGTACAGGTAAAATACCGAGGCAAAACCCCACTGACCAATGAACAGACACTTGAACGAGGAATGCAGAACAGGTCATGTTAGTGGGAGAGCGAGGGTAAATAAAGTGGGTAAAGGAGAGTGAAGTGGCATTGTTTCCTGTGTATGCCATTGGTTGTGACAAAGTTGAAAACTAGCCTTGTGGTTGGCATAAGGGTCCCCATCATTGATTGTGTCAGATCCTCATTTTCTGTCCTGGGAGGCAGGGAAAACAATCCACAGATGGAGAAACTGGGATCCAGAGGACAGAATGACTTGGCCCAGGTCCTCACTGGTGGAGCTGGCAGGATGGGCAGCCTGCAGAAAGTAGAAGATGGATGACAACTCAGGTCTCTGTGACGTCTGCTGACAAAAGTCAAGGTTGTAAGAGTGATTCTGGCAGAAGAGCCAGCTTTGTGAGTTTGTTACAGTTTGAATAGGAAGTATCTCCCCAAAAAGATTCATTTGTGGAAGGCTTAGTCCCAGCTGGTGGATCCAGTCCTTGACAGGTGATTGTATCATGAGGGCTCTGACCTCATCAGTGATTAATCCACTGATGGATTCATAATTTGATGGCACTGTAGGGAGGTGATGGAAACTTTTGGAGGAGGGGCCTGGTTGGAAGAAGTAGGTCATTGGAGGTGTGGCCTTAGGGGCTGCATCTTGTTCCAGATGCCCCTCTGGGCCTGTCTCCTGACTGCAGTGAGGTGAGAGCCTCCTCCACCACTGCCATTGTGCCCTGCCTTGCCTTAGGCACAAGTGATGGAGCCAGCCAATCTTGGGCCGAAGCCTCCTTGCACCTTTAAAGTGTTTCTCTCAGGTATTTATTTGTCTCAATGACAAAAACTCTGACTAGCATAGTCTCTCTGAACTGAGTGGAAATCGCTTTACAGTGCTACAAGCAGCCAGTGCCACAAGCTGATTCTGTGCTGTTGCTTCCCCATGCTCGATGTCGTTTAATCCTTTGCACAAGTCTGGAGGTGGGAGTTATTACACTATTTTATTAAGGAGAAAGCTAAGGCTTGGGACAGCAAGTAACTTGTGCAGCTGGTCATTCGCAGAGCTGACATTCAAACCCAGGTCTCTGTCAATCTTGGGCTTTGCCCAAGTCCCAGAGACTAAAGAATTCTGCCTTGCTCAATTTTGTGTTGCTCTAACAGAATATTAGAGATGAGTAATTGGTTAAAAAAAAAAAAAAACAAAGATGTATTTCTTACAGTTCTGGAAGTCCAAAATCAAAGGGACCTTTTTGCTGTGTAATCCATGTCAGAAGATGAAAGGACAAGACCACAGGAGATAATAAGCAGGCCAAACGCACTTTTATAACCAACTCACTCTCATGATAACAAACCCACTTCTGAGATAATGATAAACGCTAATCCATTCGTGAGTGCAGGGCCCTCGTGACCTAGTGACCTTTTGCAGGTCTCACCTCCCAGCACTTTGCTTTGGGCATAAAGTTTCCAGTACATGAACTTTGGGTTGACACACAAGCCACAGCATCCACTGGGCATTAACAGCTTTCTCCTCCTCTCCCTCCCTCAGGTCTACATCATCCGGGTCACGTGGTCCAGTGGTGCCACAGAGGCCATTTACCGGCGCTACAGCAAGTTCTTTGACCTGCAGGTAAGGACTTCCACATCCCTGCTTCTACAGTGCTGGCTTTATCCCCAGGCCCCACATGATGGCAAAGTGGCTTTGGCACCTCGGCAGGAAAAAGTAATGGTCACCTCTCGGGGTCGGAAAGTGTGTTGTGTGTCACGGGCTCGTCTCTCTGCCAGTTAGTACGAGTGAGCAGCCAGTAGGTTTCCTGGTCCCTGTTCCATCCCTGGCCTCGAGGACGTGGGCTGAGGGAGGGAGGAAGGGCCACAGACTCTCCTGGAGGTACCCTTGGCTATGTGGACCCAATCTCTTCCTGAAAATGTCAGATGGAGTCTTTAGAGCCCTTGTCCCATTATGGTAAAGAAGAGGAGATAACAATGTGCTCCTAAATGGTTTCCCTGCTATTGCTAGAACATTCTCAAATGCCTTCATGACAGACTGCCGAGCATTGCTGCATCATGGAAAGCAATTGAGATCTGACTACTTAAAGTGCAATGAATTCATTTGTGATGTTTGTCTTCAACTGTATGTAGCCACAGCAAACAGTGTCACGTACACGTTTTCTTCTGCTGCTCTGCTGCAAGCATGAGCTGAGCATGAATTAATACAGGAGCTATATGTGAAATATGGCAAAGGGCGGGGATGCAGCTCAGTGCAGAGCACTGCGTAGCATGCACAGGACCCTGGGTTCAATCTCTAGCACTGCAAAAATTATTTAATTAATTAGTTAATCAAAAAGGGATGTGACGGTAGCAAACACTAGGGCCAGGGAAAAGCCACACACTGGAGAAAGGAAGGGAAATGCCAGCGCCTTCTGGTGCCCTGGGCAGGAGTCTTAGTCCTCCATGACAATGACCAGTAGCATGGAGTCCACTTGTCCTTTGACCCAGACCCAGGGAGATTATCAGACTCCTTACAGCAGGTCTTCGGCCCCAAGAACGAGTGTTGGGTAACCACTTCTGTGGCTGCCAGCCTGACTTTCCAGGCAGTGGTGTCTGTCCAGGGAGGGCTGCCTTGGTGGGGCATGGAGGGGCTTCTTGCGAGCCTGACACCTTGGAGAAGGAACAGCGGGGCCGGGGAGCAATGATGGATGTGGTTGTCATCCTAGAGATCCTTTGCATCCTCAGAGCAAAAGCCCACTCAGCTAGTCAATGCACAAAGAGAGGGGTGGGTTGGATTTATAGGAAGAGGTGGGTGTGTCCCCTATAAACCAGAGCAAAAGTTACAGCCAGCCTGGGAAGGGCCTAGATTGGCCTGCAGCCCTCCAGCCAGCTGTCATGGGACTTCAGGACCCTTGCCCAGCCAGCCTCCTTCATTTTCTTGCCAGCCTCTCTGGACCAGCCCCTTCTCTTGCCTGTTGGCCCACTTCTGCCAAGAACACCCTTCCCCCCGACCCCCATTGGTGCCTTCAGTCCCCATGAAGTGAAGTGTCCTTCCCTATTGTTAGCGAGCTGGAGCCTCTGGGTGCCAATTCCAGGCTCTGAGAGGGAAAATCTGATGTCCCAAGGGTCCTGGGTCAGAATCTACAGCCTGGGAGTTGGGGCTGTTAATCCAGGGTCTTCTTCAGGAGAGACTCAGGAAAAAAGGGTGGGAATTGAGCCCTGGAAGCATGTAAGTGTTGTTAATTGCTGACATTTGAAGCGTGTGGTTAGACTGTGTTTAAAATCCCTATTCCCGCCCAGTGAAGGCTGAAGGCAGCCCTGAGTTCAAATCTCTGCTTTGCCCTTTTAGTGATCAACTTAGTGTCACCTCTGTGTTTCTGAGCCTCAGTTTCCTCGTGTGCATGTTAGGAAGAAAGATGTTTGTTGTGACAATTGCATCAGATGTGACTGACTCAGTAGATGTGTCAGCTGCCATCTGTCCCTCTGCACAGATGTGATTTGCTCCCAGTGACATCCTTTGGGGCCACTTGAGTGTTTAATCACATCTTCCTGTCCCCAAACCTTCACCCTCCCATTCAGACTCAACTTTCTTTCTACCAGAACTTAAAAGCAAGGTTTTCTTCCCTGCATGGCATAATTGGTAACAATTGAGGGTTTGCTGTACCATAAATAGCTGCCTCAGGCGGCTGTCCCTCCCAGACGGCACTGACCAAAGGCAGGACTTTGTCTGGCACTAAAGAGTCCCAGATGGGTAGCCAGAGTGGGGAAGTCATGGAATTACAGAGGGTCCAGCTCACGCTGGAAGCAGCCCTTCCCATCCCATATCCACCCAGGGGGCAGCTGGGAGAAGTTGGAGCAGGACCATCCCTGCCAGCTCAGCTGTTTCCTGGCCAGAAAGCCAGCCCAGTGGGGCAACGACACCCTAACACCAGATGATTTCATGATTCCGTGTCCCCTCCCTCCTGTCTGGCATGCAGCCTTGGTTTTTTCAGAAGTCACTTGGCTCAGAAAGTGTGGGGAGGGCCAAGACTTGGCCGAGGCTTGGTGGAGGAGCAACCAGGCCAGTGTGGCGTAATGGAAAAAACAAAGGATTCAGTCAGGAGACCTGGAACCCAAGCCACCCACCAACTGTGTGGCCTTAGGCACACCCCTTAACCCTTTTGTGCCTGAATGTCCTCATCAGTGACATGGGGTGATGATGTAGAAACAGTCAGTACTTCTGAAACACTAAATGTGGGCCCAGCCTGATAAATATGGGGTGGAATAACTCATTTAATCCTCAGAACAAGCTTATCAAATTGCACAGGTGAAGAAACCCAAGCTCAGAGAGGCCCAGACGTTTGCCCAAGGTCACACAGCTAGTAAATGTCAGAACTTAGATTTGAGACTGGGTGGGCAACGCCAGAGTCCAAGTGTTTGTCCACTGTGGTCTATGTTGCTCCTCTCTCTAGTGGCTACTTTACAGGGTTCTTATACATGAAAGTTGATAGTCATGTCCAGGACAGGCAAATCCACAGAAACAAAGCAGATTAGAGTTGCTAGTGGCTAGAAAGAGAGGATAATGGGGGGGTGACTGCTTATGGTTGTTTCGGGGGAGTGATGCAAATGTTCTAGAATTAGACAGTGTTCATGACTACATAACCATGTGACTATACCAAAAACTGCTGAAGGGTGTGTTAAGAGGGTAAATTTTGTGGTATGTGAAGTAAATCTCAATTTTTCGGGAGAGGAATGATGTGCACAGTCCAGGCTGTCAAGTCTGAGGGAGGACCAGCTGCCTGGGTGGCTGATGGTGTGGGCTGCTGGGAACTGTAGACGTTAAAGGACGTGCTGCCAGCTATGAAGACTCTGGACTTTGGAGTCAGGCAGAGCTGGGCTTTGATCCAAGTCCTGCCACTTCCTGGCCATGAGAGTTTGTTTCGATCAGAGCTGTTCTAAATGCAAATGACAGAAATGCAGCCAAGTTCACAGCACATTAACTGAGAAGTCCTTGGGCACTGGACCCAGGGGCGACTATGGAGGAGAAATTGCCTTTCTCCACACCTTTGGCTTTCTTTCTGTCTGGGCCATGTGGAGACTGGTGTGGTGACTGGTGTGGTGACAGCTGAACTCCAGGCTGTATCCAACACACCAGCACTGTGACTTCAGGGAAAGAGACCTGAGACCCCAGCAGTGTAAGCAAAGGTCTTGGTGGGCTCATCTTGGATCAGATGACCAGGCCACTCAGGGCCAGTGAGGGACGGAAAACAGTGTCAGCCTCCTGCCGAGTGCCTGGACACGAGAGTAGCGGGTCCCCAGAAGTCTTCTGGAATAGTGTTACCCAGGCTGCTGTGTGGGAGAAGAGGCTCGGTCACCAGCAAAATGAACCCCTAGTGAGGACTTGCCTTCTGACTCCGTCTCCTGATTTGCTTGTCTTGGAAAAGTTAGACCTCAGTAGTTGTGCCTACCACTCTTAATTCAGTTGATATCTGGTCATGTGTCTTCTTCACACAAGGGTATGTGGACAGGCTAAGCCCTGGGCTTAGAATAGAAACCCGCTGTGAGGTCCCCAGCTTTGCCATAGCAACTGTGTGGCAGATCACTGACCCCACGCTGGAGACTCCGTCAGGACACATGGCAAAGGACACTGTAGGTGACAGGGTGCCACAGCGCTGAGAGCAGCATGTTGTGGACAACGGGTTGATTGACCGTTTTGCCAGATATGTGCCATGTGCTCAACTTAAATGCCGTCTCACTTAAGCCTCACTTACAAGCAGGAAGTCAGTATTGTGTCTGGTTCACAGACAGGAAACCAAAGCTCAGAGAGGCAGTTATGTGCCCAGAAAGCAGCAGGGTTGGGATGCAAGCCAGGTATGGCTAAGTGTGAAACCTGCTCTTCTAACCTGCCTTCTCTGTGCTCGGTTTGCCTTTGGATTGATCCATGCAAAGATGAACTTGCCCTCAGAGAACCCTGCCCAAGGCTGTCCCTTCCTGTGGCCCATTTGTCTCCTCCTGAGAGGATGGGGCAGAGGCTACTCTGCAGGGAGCAAGTCTGAGCATAATAGCCCTTTGCAGACAAGCTTCAGACCGAAGGATCCACTTCATATTGTGTCCTGTGACCTTTGCACTCTGAATCCCCCCACTGCTTCATTGTGTTCAGTAGGCCCGAGGTCCTGGCCATCCTTGGAGCAGGGCCTCCCTCACAGAAGACACCATGAAACATTCCCCACAGGGTGTCAGGGAAGTAACTGCACTGCAGGATGGCACAGGGGATGCTGATAAATCTCTGCATTCTCCAACCCCTCTGTAAGGTAGGAATGAGACTGCACTGACTCCAGGTAGAGAGAAATCCCAGCCTTCAGGGAGGGACCTTCAGTGAGAGGCTTGCTTCCTGCAGGAGGTGAAACTGAGTAGAGCCTTGACAATGGCTAAGGAGTTAACAAAACCTCCCACTGCGGGAAGGGCATTCCCCCAGAGAACACTGCTTCGCAAAGGGACTGAGGGCTAACTGCTTCCTAAGTAAGTGCCACCCACATCCCCTGGCTGGGAAGTCCATGCATCAGCACATCAGGTCACAGAGCACCTGCTGTGTCTTGATCTGGCCTTCATCTGTGCAATGACAAAAAGACCATCCCAGGTCATCATGCCAGATCACTCATTTCC